TCTGTCTGTCTGTCTGTGTGTCAGATGTTGTGGAGGAGTGTGTGTCTGTGCTGCCGGAGCAGGTGTCAGCGCTGGAGGAGTTTATTCCCAGCCGTCAGACGAGCGTGACGCTGATGAGAGCAACAGTCTCTGTCCCTGCAGCAGAATACAACCTCCTGCACCTCTTACTTCCTGTTCTACTGGGACACAAGGTGCAAACGACACACACACACTCTTTCCTCATATACCTGCCTCCCCTCTGTGTGTGTGTATCTGTGTTGGTACTACAGCGTGTGTGTTTCTGCTAGGTCTCGGCTGCGCAGACGTCTGTCCCTCAGTTCCAGCTGCTGCGTCCTCTGCCTGCACTGCAGCTGCAGTTTGAGCGCGTCACGTTTGAGCATTCAGTGCCAATGTATGAACAGGAAGTGACACGTGCAGCCAGCAGCCTGAACCAGCCATCAGACACACTCCTGCACCACTGCTACACACACTGCTACCTGAAGGTACACACACACATACACACTCACACACACTCAAGCATATATACACATATATACTGTCAGTGTGTTATAATGTAAACGGACAAGACAGAATCAAGTTTGTGTCAGAAGAAGCATATATTCATTTTTATTTTGAAGGATTTCATTATTTATAGTCAGGAGTGTATGAGCAGCTGTTGACCTGCTTTATGTAAAAATTATATTCAAATGATCAGTGTCACTTTGAACGTCTGCTAATGTTTCAGTCTGGTTTAAGCGCACACACACACACATCTCGTACCGAATGGAGTTCTGTCCTGAACACGTTTCTAAAAACGTTGAGCCTCTTTGTGTCTCTCTCAGGTCTTTGAGCTTCAGGCTGGTCTGACTGTAATCGACTCAGAGGGGGGGTTTCAGCCGCTCATTCCCATAATTCCTTCTTTCAGTACTGCGCTCTATGGGAAGCAGCTCCGTTTGCCTGCATACTGGTGAGACACACACACACACACACATACACACGGTGGGTAAAGCGCTTAGATGAGTGTGTCAGTGGAGGGTAATAAATATCCTGTCATTAGCTGAGAGTCTGAGTGTGTGAATGAGAGCCATTAACGCTGAGTGTGAGTGTGTGTGTGCTGGTGTTGGCCGGAGGTGAGGCTGCTCACACGGTACCGATCACCCTTCATTTAAAGAACTCCCCGGAGCCCGGCGGGTCAAGCGGCCCGTTTCTGCAGCTGCTTTAGTGTGTGAGAGAGGCGCAGTAATGAGACGCAGCAGCGCTGCCTGCTAAACCTGTTACAGCGCACACATGAGGAGCGCAGAGCTCGACCGCCGTCAGTGATCAAGGCCACATCACACACACTGCTGTGCGGTACGCGCTCACACACTTCAGCTAGTTCTGTGTAAATGAAACGCTGTGCTGTTGTTTTCTGAACTACATAGCAAACATCCCATCATGCTCTTGTCATCAGTAGTCAGAATGTGCTGCTGCCCAGATGAACGTCTCACTGATGGAGGATCACTGAGTCCGGTCGAGTGCTGGAGGAGTGTGGGTTACAGGACGAGACATCAGAGCAGTTAGCTGATCCGTGTAGATCTGACGAGTTGTTGTGAGGTCTGTGAGGAGTCGTGAGTAATGAAACGAGAATCACAACTTCAGTGTTGTCAGAAAAAGCTCCTGTCTGCAGTGGTTGAAGCGCAGGACTGTGTTCATTTAAACACCAGCAGCTCATGATCCAGTGTTTTCAGTGTCTCTGAGTGGCTCGGGTTTTATTATTACTATAGTATTATATTTATTTGATTACATTTATCATTATTATGTATTCACATTGGCTGTGTTCCATTAAAACATCAGTGCTGTCTGACCCTCCTGTGGTGGTTTGACGCCTTTTCCACTCCTGATGTGTTTGGGCTTTGTCTAATTGTTTCATGGCTGTGTGCGTCTGTGTGTGCGTCTGTGTGTGCGTGTGTGAGTGCGTGAGTGTGTGTGTGTGTGTCTGCCTGTGAGTGTGTGTGTGTGTGTGTGTGCCTGTGAGTGTGTGTGTGTGTGTGTGTGCCTGTGAGTGTGTGTGTGGTGGGAATGTAAGGTGCTAAAGCAGGCGGTGGAGGTTCAGCTGTCACATGTGTAACAGCGGCTGGCGTGAGTCTGTTTCTGATTAGCGGTGCTGTTTGCTGCGTTTGAGCGTGTTTATTTATTAATAAAAACAGGTGCAGATGGTGCGTCTCTAAGATCGCTTTCCCCGAAAACACAGAAATGAAGCGAGTCGCGCCAGCTTTCATGACGTGCCAGTGCGCAGTGAACATTTGCTGGGCATGTGCTGGTGTGTTTCCTGTTAGCTCACTCTGAACATCCGCGGACGCTTGAGACTCCCATGAATCCAGATCAGAGAAACCCCAGGCGAGTGCTGCTGAAGGCCTTGAGCGGCAGTGCTGTCTGCCCCTGACCTCTGGCCCCGTCTGAATCCGTGCGCTCGCACAGCTGCCTCTTCTGCAGCGAGGCCGATCTCTGCTGAACGTCAGCCTCTCGCCGCTGTCAGCCGTTACGCGCCGAGCCACCCAGAAGCACTACAAAGCCAGGATGAGAGCGCCGCGAGACGAGCGGTTAAGTGTTTGCAGAGGTGCTCGAGGAGGAGCGCTTCTCCCCGTCAGAGCTGATCAGAGACACAGACTCATTACCCAGAGAGCACTGGGCTCCCACACACACACTTGACTGCTCTCAGCTGGAGACGCCACTGTGAAGCTTTCTGTCGTTCGTGCACAGAGACATTGAACAGAATCACTGTCACTCTGCACATGTTATAGAGCTTTATAATATAGAGTGTTATGTCACCAACCAATGTTTCCATTCGATACAGAAATAAGAAGACATTTGTGAATGTTATGAAGAGCAAAAAACTGTTCATTAGAGTCTGTTTGATTTGAGTGATTAAATGGAGCGTTTAGTGAATGATCTGGACGTATGTTGTTGTGCTGGATGTGAGCTGCGGCTTTATTTACTCAGTTCAGTGTTTGAATGCGTGACCTGCTCGAGTAATAGTTGCATTTGTGCATTATCATGCTATTTAAGGACACACGAGTTCAGTTCCAGTTTGACAGTCTGCTGTCTCATACGTGACTGATGTGACACGCTCTTCATGTGCAGCGACTCCATTAACAATCACTTTTCAGAGTTTCACTGATGAAGTGTGTGAGCTCATCTGTCTTTCTGTGATGATGTATTTGATCTGTCTCTCACTCTCTGTGTGTCTGTCAGGGGGAGGCAGCCTTCAGTCCCGGTGTGTGAGTGTGTGTTTGAGCTCCCGCAGGTGTGTGTGCAGGCGACGCGTGCGCAGGTGCTGCTGCTGCAGTGCATGTATCGCAGCTGGACACACAGTGTGGGAGGCGGAGCCTGCAGCAGCATCAGCGACAGCCTCATTAGCCACGCCTACAAAACTCCAGGTACCTACATGTTCACGTGTGCCTTTGAAACTCCTTGAGTGTGTCGAGTGCTGAGGTGTGTGTGTGTGTGTGTGTCTTCATGGAGGTGTTTCAAAACGACTGCAGTGAACTCCAGTGAGAAGCGTCTGTTTGATCACATCACACTCGTGTGTCCTTGTGCTGATGGAGTGTGTTGTCCTTGTGTGTGTCCGTGACATCCAGCAGAGAAATCCGTCTGATATGAGACACATTCATGGAGAAACAGCCACGTTTGTGTGTGTGTGTGTGCGTCACATTAGCTGCGGTCAAACACTAACTGTGCTACAGCTGCCCTTCATTCAGCAAACACCTCTTCTCTTCTCTTCTCTTCTCTTCTCTTCTCACACTGTTCTCACCATCAGGAACAGAATGTGCCACATGCTAAAATGACACTTTCCAGAATGCAGAAGCCTCATAAACACACACTCACACCCCCCCCCACACACACACACACACTCACACACACACACACACGCTCATACTCTCTCACACACACACACACACGCTCATACTCTCTCACACACACACACACACGCTCATACTCTCTCACACACACACACACACTCACACACACACACCCCCCCCCACACACACACACACCAGTAGAAGCAGCAGGCAGACAGAGAATTTGAGGTTGTGCACATATGAACACATCTGGAATATGTGTGTGTGTGTGTGTGTGAGCGCACAGGTGCAGAGGTGCACAAGCAAACAGCTGGAGGTCACTGGGGTCACACACCCCATCAAACACCCTAAGGGCAACACACACACACACACGCAGCACTAGAGATATATTAGTATTGTTTAAATGGTAATAAACATGAATGAGTGTTTGTCATGTAAATGTGTTTTGTGACTGAACTTCTATCATGCATCTGTGACGGCCCAGATTACTGAACGAACAAACACATGATGATGTGACTGACTGGTGTGTGTTTCAGCAGGTGTGAAGCCGGTGTGTAGCGCTCCCGTGCTGGAGGTGTGTGTTCAGCGTGTGGAGCTGAAGGTGTGTGTGCGGCCGGCGCTGCTGTGTGTTTCTGGGACTCTGGGAGCTGTGAAAGTGTGTGCCAGAACACCGGGTGAGAGCAGCTGCACACATCTGCCCTTCTGACACACACACACACGCTCATACTCTCTC